AATGGACACTTCCAAGTGTGGAATCAAGACAAGAGAAATCAAGTCAACATCCAAGTTGAAGTGATTCCCACTGAATGTGTCCATTTCACAAACGTGGGTGCTAATATATTTACCCACTTTCCACAACCTTGTTTCCTTCTTGCTCGCACGCACCATCCAGTGACAACCGGTAAACCATCTACGGCATATGACCTTGTATACCTTCGGAGTTGACTCCCATACTATCATCTCACGACACTATCTTAAGCTATACATTTTACAAGCCCTGGATATGCGAGCTTTATCGGGAAAATACATGCCCTTTGCCAGCACCATTGGTCTAGACTCATCCCACATTGCTGGCCGAATTTCGTCAAGATCCCTTGTGAGGGCATCCACATCCGGCATACTTGGCAAATTATCAAGGTAGGGAATATGCCGTGAATGAAACGACACGTGGGACTCGTACACTCTTGGTCTAATGGGAAGTGGAGCATGCTCCCTCGTCAGCTCAGGTTCGACATTCACTTCCTCCTCATCTTCACCCTCGTCAGGGAAGGGTATGCCATCTCCGGACTCATCGGCATTGTTGTCATAATCACTATTATCTTCCTGACTCTGCGCATCTGCCAAATCACAAGTAAATACGTCGTCTACTGGCAACTGAGTGAGGTCAGGACCATCAAGTTGCTCGTTTTTACTGCACAAACAATAAAATGATAAGCTACTCAAATTGATAAATACTTTACATAGAGATATATCACTTCACTTACAAGTCGTAATGTGTAGACATTATCTTGTTGGTGATGATTCCCGCATGGATCACCGTGATCCAACACACCAAAACTACGCATATTCCAACTGGGCGTGGGGTCATAACTTGTAAAATTCATATCTGGACGGTACCCCCTGTGGAATATATGAGTGCTAATACAAATTCGATACAACAAAGATAAACATCGTAACACAAATGAAAATTGAAGTTTACTAGTCGTCTTGTGAATTTTGTAAAGTAGGAGAGAAATTATTTCCTCGCTCCTCGTTCGCCCGCGGAGATAAGTTTAGATTCGGCCAAACTCTTTCGGCCGGAACCTGGTGGGCTAATACTGTTCCAGAATAACCACCCGATGATTGAGGGTTATCCCTACTTTTCGCAACAACATTATTGCAAATGTCTTCAACCTTCACGTGCATTTCCAACATTTTTATCAAAATAAGTTCCCAGTATTCATCCGGAGTCCCCAAAAAATCTCTCAGAGTTTCATCATCCTCGATGTTAAACTCAGCGTAACAAGCAACCCCTTGCGGAGTCACAGAATACGGATATCTTTCGGTTATTTTAAGATTCACCGAACGTTTGCTCAACCTCATTTTATTGCATAACAACGATACTTGTCTATCGTACTCCATTGTAAGTGATAACTTAACAAAACTCTGTGGAGATAAACTATAGCTCACTGAGTTATTCGCCACCACAACCTCCCCCCTCCCCCCCCCCCAAATATAATGAAATCCTTACTTTTCGCTCTTCAGACATTATGAAAAAAGCTTGAGAATTTAACAACAAGAAAAATTTATCACGAAGTTGGAGTATTTCTGAATGATCAAAACCCTTAACGCCTCTATATAAGGAAATGCCCAATCCGGGGGGTCAAATTTTTGGAAGTAAAACGCAGTTTAAAAGGGCATTTTACATATTTGAATTATTGTTATGTCAGTTAAGCGCATAAGAGTTATTGGTGGGCCCAGTAAACATGTAAAATGCGGTTTCTTACTGCGTTCTATATAAAACACAGTAATGAACCGCGCTTTATGTAGCTGTCTTTTCAGCTTCCAGTAAAGCGGGTATTCAACTGCGTTTTATATAAAATGCGGTAATGAACCGCTCTTTACCTTAACGTTCCAAACGGCCGTTAAGGTAAAACGCGGTTCATAATTGCGTTTTATATAGAATGGTACTTAAAGTGTTTTGAGTACAAAAGAACCACATTTAGGTTATGGACTCTTTTCTGCACTGCCTTTGTACTGTATTCTGACAAAGCAGGGAATCTATTCTAATTTCCGAGATCCAATTCCACTGTATATTTCATGTTTCATTCATAGGATGATAGTCCTTGAAATTTCTTGCAATTCTATGAATGTTGGAATATTACTCAGGCATTAATATCACTATTTTTATTGATTTCTGTATCATTTATTGATATGAATATCTTCAGACGCTTACTGCCGACAAAAGTTGGGTTCAAAATATCCAAGAATTCGTGTAATGGTAAGACCTTTTTACTCCTCTTTATGTGTTTTTCCCTATCTTTTTGTGCTCTATTAATCATAAAGTTACAATCTTTGTGAGGTTTGATATAATTGGTATGTGTTCTATTTACCCTTGAAGAGGGGATGTGGATTGAAATGTTTAATTAGAATAGTATTAGTGCAATTAATGACATTAATGGAATACTGTTCTTCTACTACAGTTTTTCCAAATAAATTATAAAGTCATATATATCTTTTTAAATAGTAATAAGCATTGATGGGTAGAGTTATATGATACCTGTACTGCTGGAAGATAGCAGGTAGCTGGTGAAATAGTCGAGGTACAAGCAGGCCCGAAGATCACCGTCATAAAAAAACGGTTTATCTTTGAGCTATCTTGGGCTGTTTTGATAGGTTTAAGCTTCTTCCCTCAACATTTTAATGAGGGGTTTTTATTGACTGTCGATGGAGGTAGAAGCCGCTTTTTTAATCTAAAATGTTCTTTTTGAATCTTTAAAGATTGAGATGAAATGGACCATAATAGCGCAGAATGGATACAGAGGATTCATATAACCGACCCTCAACTAGTTTTAGGATTAAGGCGTAGACGCATAGTGATTGATTGATTGATGTTCTTTTACAATCTTGTTTGCAGCACGGGGCATTTATAGTATCCATTCGTCCCCGGATTGTGTGGTGGAAGTACATTCCTCGGAGCAGGAAGTAATAATTGCTTTAGGAAGTAATGTGGGAAACAGACTTCAGAATTTTGATGAAGCATTGCACCTAATGAAGAAATCAGGTATACAAATTACCAGGCATGCTTGCTTATACGAGACAGCGCCTGCTTATGTGACTGATCAGCCTCGGTTTCTGAATTCTGCTGTTAGAGGTGTCACAAAACTAGGGCCTCACGAGTTGTTGGGAGTGCTCAAGAAGATCGAGAAGGACATGGGTCGTACAACTGGGATTAGATATGGTCCTAGACCCATCGACTTGGATATTTTGTTTTATGGGAAGTTCAAGATTCATTCTGAGATACTTGACGTTCCGCATGAAAGAATCTGGGAGAGACCATTTGTTGTCGCACCTTTGATTGATCTACTCGGTTCAGACATAGATAGCGATACAGTTGCAAGTTGGCATTCGTTTTCAAAACATTCAAGTGATCTTTTCGAGTTGTGGGAGAAACTAGGAGGTGAATCTCTTGTAGGGAGAAATGGGATGAAAAGAGTATTGCCAGTTGGAAACAACCTATGGGACTGGTCTTCGAAAACCTCTGTTATGGGTATTCTGAATTTGACACTCGACAGTTTTAGTGATGGCGGGAAGTATCTATCCGTAGAAGCAGCAGTTTCCCAAGTTCGGTTAATGCTCTCAGAGGGTGCAGATATAATTGATTTTGGTGCACAATCTACACGTCCAAACGCTTCAAAGATATCCGTTGAAGAAGAATTAGATAGACTAATTCCTGTTATAGAGGCTGTTAACAAGATGCCCGAGGTTGAGGGGAAGCTTTTATCTGTGGATACCTTTTATTCAGACGTTGCTTCAGAAGCAGTCAAGAATGGTGTTCATCTTGTAAATGATGTATCTGGTGGACGGTTGGATTCCAATATGCACAGTGTCGTTGCAGCACTTCGAGTACCCTTTATAGCAATGCATATGAGAGGTGATCCGTCTTCAATGCAAAATCCCGAGAACTTGCAGTACAACGATGTTTGTAAGGACGTGGCGTTTGAACTCTATGAGAGGCTCAAGGAAGCAGAGTTAGCCGGTATTCCTGCTTGGAGGCTAATACTTGACCCAGGAATCGGATTCTCCAAAAATACTGAACATAATTTGGATATTCTAACGGGTTTGACAACCATTCGAAGTGAGATTGCAAGGAGGAGCTTGGCGTTGTCTCGTGCACCTTTGTTGATTGGACCGTCTAGAAAGAGATTTCTAGGCGAAGTCTGTGCTCGCGCTGCTGCAGATGAACGAGATCCAGCAACTGTTGCTGCTGTGACCACCGGGATTCTGAATGGTGCCAATATTGTAAGGGTACATAATGTTCGATATAATGCAGACGCCCTTAGGCTGTGTGATTCGTTATTGGAAAGGAAACGGTATGCTTAGATAAAACAGTTAACACGAGCTATGTTTTGTTTTTACCTTATTCTTTTCTCATTGTAAAACATCTATCAGTCTGAGATTTGTGTTTTTGCAAAAGAAGTCAAAGCTGAATTGATATAACCAGAAAGAGCAAAGTTTTGTAAGTGAACATTTTACTTGAAAGATAACTAGTTCCTTGATTCATTTGCTTCCTTTCATTTCCCAAGTTTGTAAAACGTAGATGACATTCGTTTTTACTTTAATGTACTTTTTGTTCTCTCTTTTACCAGTTCCAATCGAGAAATAAATTAAGATGCTAAACAAAGAAATCTTTACTTCTCTAACTGCTACCTCCTCTCTATATTATCTGTTGAGAGTTTTGCACCTCTTTGGAACAATAGCTGAATAGCTGAAGTTCTCTCTGTAAAAAAAAAAGGCAGCATTTATATTCGTGCAAGAGGCTGTTTCAAGTTCTCTAAAAAAGTAATAAATGACTTGTTTTTTTTTTTTTATTATCAAATATGAAAAACACTTCAAGTTTGAGGTGTCACGATGCTTCTCTCAGATTGACATGACTTATTTGCATCTAAAAGGCCTTCTTGATGTCATAAAACTCAAGAACACAAGCTGATCAGGACAAAACCAAAAAGAAATCAAAATAAAAGAAACTCGGCGAAAGAAAAAAGATAAAATGCCCTTGCTGGATGCACTTTATTCTGTATCCTCAGACAGGTTATACGGATAGTAAATGTAAACTCTAATCAATATGATGACAGCCACTGTGTATTAAAATGGCTATTTTACATCACTTGCTCTGGGACATAATGTCAATTTCCCGCCATCTCATTCAGTAACAAAAATGTGCATTCAGCAATCATGTCCCAAAATACTTCCTCTAAAGATATGATGAATACTTTTTCAAGTCTATGTTTCACAACAGTACTAACATCCGAGAGGGAATATCAGACTGATTTTACTTCTTGCGTGTGTATAAGAAGCCCACCACCACAGAGATGCCGACAACTGCTATAGGAACGAACCAATATTGCTTAGTAATTTCCTTAACCTTCTGAGGGATATTTTTGGCAGCCTTCTTGACAATCTCAAGTTCTGGGATGGGAGGGGATGTCGAATCAAGCTCCCCAATGAAGAATTTCTCCATCAGTTCCCTCGCATCCTTGCTATGTCCAGCATCTTCGAATTCATCAGTGGCATCTTTTCCTACAAGAAAATGCATCACAAGTCGTATCATTCCATCTTGTAATCTTTCTAATGACATGCTCAAACGTAATTTCATTTACTTCTACTTTGAGCATAGTAAATTCAAAGCGAAGAATATGAATGAAACGATACCTGTAGCAGAAAGTACAACATCATCTCCCCCTGGATGTTCGTCCAAATAAGATGAAACATCATATACCTGCTCATGCACCAGGCAAAGCATTGAAGTTAGCAAAACGGAGAATCAGGCGTTCTAAAAATTTTTAATAAAACATTCTAGAAATATAAGAAGATCAGTCCAAACACTATGACATTTTGCTTATGAAGCAAAACGACAATCAGAACATTGCAGACAATAAGTTGCTAATCCAAATAGCCAATACAATAACTTTCTTCTAATTAGAAATGTAATTTCATGCCAGCACTCAGCAGTTGGTAATACAAATATTTTATAGCATATGGTTTTCGAGTATGACCCTTGCCTGAGCAAGCAAAAAGTTTGGCATCAAAGAAGACAAGTCAAAATGTCCAATTGCATCAATAGTTTTAGCTTCTATATAAATTATTGATTTGCAAACAAACTTTTGCAAAGACTACTGGAGATCATCAGTCTCACTTAGCGTTGCTGTAACATCAAAACTATTCTTTCCAGCAAATCGTGGTGCTCTAAGGCATAAAGCGTGTTAAGCCATATTACCATCTGATTTAAAGTCTATCCTCCTGGCTCATGTCTAGACTAGATATCAAACCAAAACCAGTTTCATTCTCAGAGGTTCAAGACTGGCAATTTACATATTAAGTAGTACTGTGTTCAGGTTTATTTTTACCACGACAAGTTAAATATGGGTTTGACTTCTAGTGAAAATTATTTTGATGGCTGACACAAGAATGTGGGTGTACTTAAGAATATAAATAGCCAATGTGCAATTGGTAAATCCTCTAAATTTCACAATAATAAGAGCTTGGATAAAAATAAAACAGCTCAACTAACCACAAGATGCAATATCAGGAAGTTCTCGCTGCATAAAGTGCATAAGTTGAACTCGATTGCCATATCGTACAGGTTGCAATGTCAAAATATACGAAGAAAACAAGTCCGAGGCCTTAAATTATAGTAATAAATATAGTATGTCCAAATCATAGGACACAACCTATATAAAAATTAATCAGCATAATATGGAAACAAGCAGATAAAATAATGAGGAAAAGCATGGATCAATAATCATGGTTAAAATTCCCGTGAACACTGTCCAAGGTAAGCTTGCATAAATTTTGCACAGCATTATAGATTTTGCATGAGCACAAATGGAAACTAAGGGAGCAATGCACCACCTTATCCACAAGAAATTATATTTAGTTTTCAGGAAGAAGCGAATTGTCAAATGATAGACATAACTCCATGCGAACATTTACAGCCCGCCCCAACCCTCTCACCTTCCCAAATACCACGAAGGAGAAAGGTAGTGGATGAATTTTTATTGGTCCTGAACCACTGCCACTTACAGCTGCAAATTATTAATCTAAGGATAAACTTATAAGGCCCTGCTGCATTACTTACAAGGTTAGGGAGCATTTGAATCAGGACTTGTTATGGTTATCAGTCTTCTTGGTCTTATCTACAATTTGTATGTGTTTCACATTCTTGAGTTGCCGCATCCTGGTGGCATATTTTGAAGCTGAGGAATCTTCATTACTTCGTTAATCACAACCAATCTTCATTACTTCGTTAATCACCCTGATAACAATACACCCAGTGATTATCTTCTAAATCCAGCAAAATTAGCTTTTTACCTTTCTTTTCCTCATTAAGAACTCGCCCCAATTCCAATAGAGAACCAGATACCTATAACTTTCTCTCAGTTCACTAGGGCCACTACCTCAAACAGCTTGACACTCTTCCATAGTCATTATACCTTTTTTTATAACCACCGTGTTAGGGCCAGCTTACTCGCACCTCGACTAATTACACGGGGTACTTGCTACCTCCCTCTATAGTCATATACTTTGTACAAACGTAGCAAGATTGCTACGTTAATATATCCTTCATTTGCTTAATGCACCTGTATTAAAGGTTGCGATATGCACATGGCCACTTTTCCTATGAATCGTTCAACACAAAAAAAAAAAAAAAAAAATTAGCGAGAAACTGGCCGCAGCCATACGGATACATCCACTATATTTCTTTCTCTTAATTCCATTATTACATAGTCAATAAAGGGATTTTAAGACTATTCCAATCATATACACACTACATATTCAATGGTTAAGGGCCAGTCTAACCCGACACTAAGCAGATACATATCATAACATTCATAAGCCTAAGAAAACTTCAACATGGCAATTGAGTCAGATAATTATTATGAACATAAAACTTAAAACTAGCATCAATGGAGTTAAAAAAGAACCATTAATCCTAGTAATTAATGTGTGTGAAGAAAAACTTAAAAAAAAAAATATAAATGAATAATCGCACCCCATTGCAAACCCACTCTATATCTTGGGTCCGTCTAAAAATTGCATAACCACAACGCAGTGGCGGACCTAGCTTGCAAGCTATGGATTCATGTGAAACCAATACCTTTTGCCCAGACCCGATATATGTGTTATGAAAATCTACTAAATATTTAACTGTGAACTCAGTTATTAGGATATATTAACTTGAGCTCGATGCTGAAACTCATAAACTATAAATCCTGGATCCGCCTCTACCTCGGAAAATACATAACCAGTCACATTTACAATAAGAATATATTCCAAAACCCCATCAAAAACAAAAACAAAAACAATAAAAGGGCACCATTGACAATTTTCAATATTGGTCAGTCTATCTAACAATTGAGAACCACAAGCACAATTATTCCCCATAAAAAGGAAAAAAAAAACAGATAAAACCCAGAAAAGAAAAACACCTTGCCGTCGATGACGACCCAGCAATCATCCTTAGTGTTGTGCTGCGATGCTTCTTCCATTGTGAATAGCTTCGTTAGTGTTGGCATTTTCTCTCAATAAACTTTTAATGGCGTTTTACTTGCAAATTTCTCTTCCCTCAAACAAGTTACTAATAAACCCTATATGGCTGAAATACAGAATACTATGGTCTTGCGGCAGTGGTTTTCGTGTGAAAGGGGTAATGTTTTGGTATGGGTTTCTTTTGGGTCGGGTAGAACTAATCCAAATCCCTAATTATACGATTTGATGTACTACTGTGGTCTGAATATTTGCATTCAGCGAGTTGAATTAAGTCGAGTCGTGCCGACTATAAGTCAACATGAGTTTATTATATTATCATTAAATTATAGTAGTTAATTATATACATATTTTTATCTTAATCGATGATTTAACCATAATAACTTGTTCTCTGTGCTCCGTCTCATTTCGGTAGCCCGGTGCACTAAACTCCAGCTATGTACATGGTCCGAGAAAAAGCTGGACCACAAGGGTCTATTATCTGTAAGAGTTTGTTTCCATAGCGCGAACCGATTATCTCGATCCTCAAACTAATTTACGGGCGAAAGTACAATTACAATTGTAAAAAGTTTCTTTTCATGTTGAGGTACAGATACTCAACTCTCTTTAGGAAGGTTGAAGGGAATTAGAGTGAATTTTTTTGCTAATCTCATAATTATTTTGTCTTGTTCTCCGTAATATTACATCAATCCAATAACAACAATGACCGGTTATTCACACAAGTGGGTTTTGGGGAGGGTGAGATGTATGCTGCCTTACCCCTATCCTGGACGGGCAGAGAGGTTATTTCCGATAGACCCTCAGCTAAAGAAAAGATTAAAGAAGCACTGATAATAGTAATGACAGTACAAGATATTTAGAAAACTGAGACTAAGACAGCAAAATGCAAGATGAAAGAAGCACAGATAACAAGTAATACAATACAAGATATGTAGTAGTAGCCATCTAAGGATAAAATAATACTATACTAACAGTAATACTACGGAAACAAGAAGATAGAGGAAAACACTCGAATGCCTACTAACTTTCTACCCTAATCCTTCCTCAACCTCCACACCCTCCTATCAAGGGTCATGTCCTCGGTTAGCTCAAGCTACGCCATATCCCGCCTGATCACCTCACTCCAAGACTTCTTTAGCGTACCTCTGCCTCTCCCCCCCCCCCCCCTCCCCCCCCAAGGACAGCCTCTCACACCTCCTGACTGGGGCATCTGTGCTTCTCCTTTTAACATGCTCGAACCATCGAAGCCTCGCCTCTCGCATCTTATCCTCCACAAGTGTCCTTGATAACTTCGTTCACAATTCTATCTAACCTAGTATGCCCACAAATCCATCTCAACATCCTCATTTCAGCAACTTTTATCTTCTGGACATGGGAGGTCTTGACTGGCCAGCATTCTGCCCTATATAGCATAGTCGGTCTAACCACTACTTCGTAGAACTTTCCTTTAAGTCTCAATGGCACATTCTTATCGCATAAGACACCGGAAGCGAGTCTCTACTTCATCCACCCCGCTTCGATACGATGTGTGACATCCTCATCAATCTCCCCATCACTCTAAATCACAGACCCCAGATACTTAAAACTCTCTCTCTCTTAGGAATGACTTGAGTATCAAGCCTCACATCTACGTCCGCTTCCTGGGTAACTCCGCGAACTTGCACTCCAACTATTCTATTTTGGTCCTACTCAACTTGAAACCTTTAGACTCAAGGGTATGCCTCCAGACCTCCAGCCTTACGTTAACACCACCTCGCATTTCGTCAACCAGAACAATATCATCTGCAAAGAACATACACTAGGGCACCTCTCTTTGGATGTGCTGCTTCAATGTATCCATCGCCAAGGAAAATAAAAACAGGCTAAGTGTTGATCCCTGATGCAACCCCATCTCAACTGGAAAGTACTCCGAGTTTCCTCCTGCCGTCCTTACCCGCGTCTTAGCTCCCTCATATATGTCCTTGGCCGCTCTAATATAGGCTACATGCACTCCCTTAGCCTCCAAACATCTTCATAGGACCTCTCGCATGACTTTATCATAAGCTTTCTCTAGGTCAATGGACACCATATGCAAGTCTTTTTTATGCCCTGTATTGCTCCACCAACCTCCTCACAAGGTGAATGGCTTCTGTAGTCGACCGTCCCGGCATGAAACCAAACTGGTTGTCAGAAATGGACACACTCCTCCTCATCCTCCCTTCTATCACCCTTTCCCAAACTTTCATCGTATGACTTAGCAACTTGATACCCCTATAATTGTTGCAGTTCTGGATATCTCCTTTGTTCTTGTATAGTACAATCATCGTACTCTCCAGTCCTCGGGCATCCTCTTCATCCTAAAAATGACGTGAAATAACATGGAGAGCCATTCCAATCTTGCCTTACCCGCTCTCTTCCAGAATTCAACAGGGATCTCGTCTAGCCCGGTCTCTCTACCCCTACTCATTCTGTGCATAGCCCCTTCGACCTCCCCCACTCTTATGCGTCTACAGTACCCAAAATCACGATGCCGCTTCGAGAACTCTAAATTGTATAACACAATGCTCCTATCTCCCTCTTCATTCAAGAGTTTATGGAAGTAAGACTACCATCTCCGCCTAGTTTGTGCCTCGTCCAACAAAACTCTACCTTCCTCATCTTTTATGCACCTCACTTGGTCCAGATCCCGAGCCTTCCTCTCTCACTTTGGTTAGCCTGTACAACTTCTTGTTCGGCCTTTGTCTCCGAGCTCTTCATATAAACGACCGAACACCGCGGTCTTAGCAGCAGTAACCGCTAACTTCGCATCCTTCTTAGCTTTCTTATACCATTCTCTGTTTGCCATCTTCTCCACCTCGTCCACGCTCTCTACAAGCTTAAAATGCGCCACTTTCTTAGCTTCCACCTTCCTTTGAACATCTTCGTTCCACCACCAATCCCCTTTATGACGACCAGAGAAACCCTTCGAGACCCTTAACACCTTTCTCGCCGCCCCTCTAATGCAATTCGCTGTCATAGTCCACGTATAACTCGCGTTCCCACTACTCCCCCCAAGCCCCCATAGCTCGCAACTTCTCCTTCAACTCCTGAGCTTTGTCCTTAGTCAACGCACCCCACCCGATCCTAGGTAGACCAGACAGAACCCTCCTTCTACTTGTCCGCCTGACCTCCAAGTCCATAACCAATATCCTACGCTAAGTCGTCAGATTCTCACCCTTAAAAAAAATCCAACAATATCGTTTAATTCAATCAATCCAAAGCTTCGCAGGAACATGCTTTACCACGAGTAAAACACTCTCTCCTTTTAGGCGAAAGGGTGTCAATTAATCACTCTTGGACAAGAATAGTTGTGTCACTGATTATTAGACTTACTAGTGGGGTAATAAGCAGGTAAATCACGTGATAATGCTTAACAAAGGTTAATAATTTGCATACAAATTATGACCACTAACCTTATCACTAAGTGTGATAAACAATAAAGTTAGCAAATGGTGATGTATTCATAACAATGTAGATCAAAATAAATAGATGTGAACCAATCAAAAGGCAAATTCAAATTTAAAACATAAAATTCTTATATGTTATATGTTATAAATCCTCGGTGAGTCAGAGGAGGAGTAGAGGGAGGTCTAAGAAGAACTGGGGTGAGGTGATTAGGCAGGACATGGCTCTGCTCCAGCTTACCGAGAACATGGCTCTCGATAGAAAGGTGTGGAGGTCGAGAATTAAGGTGGTGGGTTGATAGACAGTCTAGAGTTTTGCTTTGTCTTACCAGTAGTAGTAGTAGCACTAGTCGTATATCTTCCTAATCCTAGTCTCTTATTTTTATACGGTGTGACATTATTATCAGTATGATCTGCACTACTCTTGTTTTTGTATCCCTGAATCTTTGCTATTAATCATTGTATTACTTGCTTCATTGTCTTATTACCTTGTTGTTGCTATTGTTTCTCTATTGCTTCATTTTTACTGTTATAGAGTCGAGGGTCTTTCAGAAACAACATCTCTACCTTCATAAGGTAGGGGTAAGGTCTGTGTACACACTACTCTCCCCAGACCCCACTTGCAGGATTTTACTGTATTTTTTTAATTATTTTTGTTGATGTTGTTATAAAAAAATTAACAAGAAAATAACCATCTTTTGTCATCCATTTTTAAAATAATGTAATAAAAATCTTGATTAAAAAAGAGAATAAGCATTATCTGAAATATAGATTTTTCAAAGATTTTAAATAGGAAATAAGCACAAATTACTCGATTGAGACATATTAATTACTAGCAATAATATTTTTTCAGGATGTACATCAAGCTATATTTGTTTTTGTTTTTTTTAAATTTGATACTATTAAATATTTCACTATAATTGTAACGACCCGGCCGGTCGTTTTGAGTTCTAGCGCTCCGTTCAGCAGTCTGAGGCCATGAGCAGCTTCATTTAAGGTATTATGACTTGTACGCGTGGTCGGAATTGAATTTCGGGAAGTCCAGAGTTGATTTGGAAAGAGAATTCTTATTTCGGAAGCTTAAAGTTGAAAGAATGAACTAGGACTGGAATTTTGAGTAAACGACCTCGGAATCGGGATCTGAAGGTTCCAGCAGGTTCGTATGATGATTTCGAACTTGGGCGTATGTCCGGATCGGGTTTTGGATGGCCCGGGAGTGTTTTGGCGCCTATTGTGGAAAGTAGCATTTTGAAGAAATTTCATAACTTTGGCTTGAAGTGCATTTTAGTGTTATCGATGTCCGTTTGGGATTCTGAGTCTCTAAATAGCTCCATATGGTGATTCTGAAGTTGGGAGCGCGATCAGAAGTGAATTCGGAGGTCTGTAGGTCATTTTGGAGTCATTTGGCTAAAGATAGAAATTTGAAGGTTTTTGAGAAGTTTGACCGGAAGTGGACTTTTTGATATCGGGGTCGGAATCCGATTCCGGAAGTTGCAGTAGGTCCGTAATGTTGAATATGACTTGTGTGCAAAATTTGAAGTCAATCGGACTTGATCTGATAGGTTTAAACGTCGAAAGTAGAAGTTTGAAGTTCTAAAGTTCATAAAGCTTGGATTGGAGGTCGATTCATGATTCTAGCGTTGTTTGATGTGATTTGAGGCTTCGAGCAAGTCCGTAATGTGTTTTGGGACTAGTTGGTATGATTGGTTGGGGTCCCGGGGGCCTCGGGTGGATTCCGGGTGGTTATCGGATCGAATTTGGGTAAAAAGCTGCTGCTGGTTGCAACTATCTGGTTTCCTTCTACGCGAACGCGGAGGGAGTCTCGCGAACGCGAAGAGGAAAGTGGGAGGCTGCTGGTTTTGGCCTTCGCGAACGTGAAGGGGGAGTCGCGAACGCGAAGGGGTGGGCTCAGCTGCTACGCGAACGCGAGGAGGAGATCGCGAACGCATAGAAGGAAAAAGCTGGGCCTGGGGTCCTTGGTCTACGCGAACGCGAGGCCTTGTACGCGAACGCGAAGGGCTGGGTGACTGGCCTTTGCAAACACGAGCGGAATGTCGCGAACGCGAAGAAGGGCGGACCTGGGCTGGGCAGAATGTTTAAAAATCGGGGTTGAGTTCATTTCACCCATTTTTCTCTTGGCTTGGGTGATTTTTGGAGCTTTTGAAGAGGGGGTTCCGTCATTCATCATGAGGTAAGTAATTTATGCCAGTTTTGAGTTAAATGCAAGGTTTATATATGGATTTAAACATGGAAATTGTAGAAAACTTGGGGTTTGAGGAAAAACCTAGAAAATTGGTATTCTTGGATTTTGACCACGATTTTGGGTATGGAATTTAGAGAAAATTATATATTTGAGTTCGTGAAGCTATGGGTAAACTTTATCTTCGAAAAATTTTGGATTCCGGGCACGTGGGCCCGAGGGCGTTTTTGTCAACTTTTCGATCGGGGTTAGGAATTATTATAAATTGGATTATAATGAGTACCTTAGCATATATTAATGGATTTACATAATTATTGGCTAGTTTTGGAGCGTTGTGCATCGTTTTGAGTCTTCGGAAGGGCGTGGAGTGCCGGTTATGGATCTTCGGAGCGAGGTGAGTCTCCTTTCTAACCTTGTAAGAGGGAATTTTCCCCATAGGTAAAATAATTGATTATGTGCTCCTATTTGTGGGGGATACGTACGCACGAGGTGACGAGAGTCCGTGCGTAGCTACTATTATGCTATTGTCCGGTTAGTTAGGACCCAAAAGCATGCTATACATGGATTATTTACGAACCTATTGATAGCTTGAACTGCTTAAACTACATCGAATTAGTAAAGGAATTTCTAAAAGGGTTTAAACTTCATTTTCCTAAATTATTAAAGAGAATTGGCTTTTCTTTGGATAATTACTCCATGTTGACTTCTTGATTGGCTGTCTGACTGTGTGTGTTGATTGTGCAACGGGCCGAACGCCTCGGCAGATTAAATAGATGCATCTATAGGCGCGCCGTCGACCCTCGGCAAGTGCACAGTTTATTTCTGTTGGATCGGGCCGTCGCCTCGGCATGATATGCGCATGCTTGTATTGCTGCTGTCTTGGACTTAATTAAGTTATTATTGCCTCTTCATGGCTTGAAAATATTTGGATAATTACGAAAAGGAATTTTGGAAATTTCCTATAAGAGAATTAATTGTTTACTTGTTTCCTTCTATTTGGACTAAAATCATGTTTATAGAAATCCATAATTCAATGTATTACTGACCTCATTATTGGACCACTAGTATGTGTCGAAGTCGACTATCTCGTCTCTACTTCTTCGAGATTAGACGGGATACTCATTGAGTACACGTTGTTTACGTACTCATACTACACTTCTGTGCATTTTTGTTGCACAGGTATATGCAACTCTAGTGGCTTAGTGGCATCGCGGCATGGTTGACACGGAGACTAGGTGAGCTGTATTTTCTCGAGGCGATCCGCAGTCAGTAGAGTCTCTTCAATTATCTGTATTTATTTTTTGTCCCATATTGTGTTCCGGACAGTTATTGTACTCTATTCGATTTCTTAGAGATTGCTTATGCACTTGTGACACCGGGTTCTAGGATAGTTTGAAAGTATTTTGTAATGACTGCTTATCATTTAAATTTGATTGAGGTAATTATCTTTTAAAATACTAAATTTTGAAGGAAAATCCTAGATTTCAAAGGTAGTAGAACGAGAACTTGATTAAGTAATTTGGTTGGCTTGCCTGACAGCAGTGTCCGGCGCCATCGCGACCCTTGGTGGATTTTGGGTCGTGACAACATGGTATCAGAGCAATAGGTTCCTAGGGTCTCACGAGTCATGAGCAATTCTAGTAGAGTCTCGCGGATCGGTACGGAGACGTCTGTACTTATCCTCGGGACGCTGCAGGGCTGTTAGGAGTACTTCCCTTCTTGATTCCTTATCGTGTGATTTGATCCCTGGAGGCGTATGCCTTTAATTCATTCCTACTCAATCTTATGCGACGCAAAGCGCTTATTATAAATCGAGAATTGAAGAATCATATTGGTACTACGGATGTGGTGCGGGATGTTTCTCCCGGTGTAGTTGATTGGATTATTATCGTCACCTTATGGAAGGATATTCTAATGTTTCAGCTCAGTAACGATACTTCTGAGGGCTTTGAGGCTAGGCACAAGTTGCCATGATGCTTATGAATGACTGTTCCGCAGTAGTGATATGATGGTAGGATGTTTGCCCACGTGTCGGGGTAGTGAATGACTTGAAGGGAGGTTTACTCAGTGCTTAATCAAGAGATTCAGTATTTTATTCCCGGCAGGGGAAAGGCAACCGAACTAAGAATGTGCAGATTCGGGATGGTAGAGGAATGAGACTTGGTAATTGTGAGCGTGGTGGAGTTGTTCTTCTATGATGAGGTGTCATTGTCCTCATTGAGCGTACTAAGCTCGCCGGTGTTATGACCTTCTACAATTCGCCTTTGGGGCAAGCTATTGTTAAATAGTATTGAAAATGCGGCTGTCAGATATCGCAGGGTGCGGTAGTTCAGGATTTAATCGGTGTTTCTAATGTCGACGGTATGAGAAAGA